GCTTCACATAAAACCATTAAAAGCATCAAAACTAGTTGTAGGAGCCAGGTGTGGCCTGTGACATTTTGTATGCCCTTTTTTGTCACTTCCGGTGCACTTCCGGTGATTGAGTCACGTGGTGCTGGGAATAGCCACAATGGGGGTTTATCAGCTGTCAGAATTAGACTAGGGGAAGGATTGGAAGGAGAGGGGGTGAGAGAGGGAGCCTTATTTTTTGTTGACCGCTATTTCACGCTATTTTTACATGTTATTCACATTAATATTGACAAATTATTGAGTTATGATTGTATGCCATCTAGAATCAACGTTTATTTGTTGCCCACAAATAAACACTCGAAACTCATCCACTGGATTCCGGAAGTCATTTACGTTACAGCCAGCGCGTCCGCAAGTTTAATCTCCCCTGCTTAGCCTCTCGGTGACTACTGGAAAGTTGCTCATAGTCACCTACACTAGTGCTGGGCAAGTTAACGCGTTATTATCGCGTTAACGCATTCATTAATTAACGCCGACAATTATTTTATCGCGCGTTAACGCAGTTTTTTTAAATTATTAAGCGGACATTTGTAACACAAGAACCGGCCGGCCAACCGGCCGCCGGCACCAAGCGGTGAACAGCTGTTTGTGTGGCGTCACTTCCTTCTCTTCCTGCTGCTGCTGCCATTACTGCCATGGTACAGACTCCCTCCAGGTTCCCTTGCTTCACCTACATTCCCCTGGGTCCTAAGTCCCTCCATGTATAGCTTCTTATCACCCTCTATGTACCAATGTACATTTATAACAAATACCACACATATTACGGTAATCAGCATTGCATATGTGTCTGACCAAAATACCAAAGAAAGCAAAAAATAAATGATTCATTTAAATGATTGTTTTAGAGTTTTTAAAGTGTTTTGTTTGTAATATGTATAATAAGCATCATTTAGTTATCAATACTGAGAATTTAACAAACATAAAAACATGACGTAGATAGGTTTGCAGTTTTCAAGACGTATATTAAAATATCATCTCTTACACACATGAAGATAAAGTTATGAACACCGGCTGAATATCTATGATCAGAATCATTATAACTGTGTTATAACTGCTACTGTGTAAAGGGAATACTGCTGCTAACAACAACCTGATGTGTTTAAAGTGTTTACAAACCAAATGTTATTGACCTTTAGTTCATATAGCAGCACTTTCAAGATAAAAGTGCACAATACACTACTTTTGGCTCATAACAATGCGATTAATCGCGATTAAAAATTGTAATCGTTGCCCAGCACTACTATATATATATATAACCTTTATTTAACTAGGAAGTCACATTGAGATTAATAGCTATTTTACAAGTGAGAGTTAGCCAAGACAGGGTCAAATAGCAGCATCCAACACATGACAGGACAACAACATCAGATCACAGCCACCTGTGATCAAATCAGGGAGATCCAAAGAGCTGGTGGTGGACAAACACTGTCCTCCTGCATCAGGGAACATCCAGGGAATGGACACTGAGATGGTGAAATCTTACAAGTACCTGGGTGTTCACCTGAACAATAAACTGGACAGGACAACACAACTCTTTGACTCTTTATACAAGGCCTTAGGAGTGGGGACAAGGCCTTGTATAAAGAGTCAAAATACAGGTTTAGCAAAGCGGTGAGAGATGTTAAACGACTGTACTCTGAGAAACTGCAACACCAGCTCTCAGCAAGTGACTCTGCTTCTGTCTGGAGAGGTCTCAGACAGATCACCAATTACAAGCCAAAAACCCCCCACTCCATGTATGACCTCCGCCTGGCAGATGGGCTGAACGAGTTCTACTGTCGCTTTGATAGACAATGGGACAGCCCTGACTCCATCCCCCACAGCTCCATCAACCAGCCCCAGACCACCAGGTCCCCCTCCCCCAGCCCAGCAGGGGCCCATGCCCCTGTACCCCCCCACCCCGGGGCCCCCCCCCCCCAGTAACGACTCTCTCTATTTGGGAGAGTGACGTCAACAGGCTTTTTAAAAAACAGAACCCCCGCAAAGCAGCCGGCCCGGACTCTGTCTCACCCTCCACCCTGAAGCATTGTGCTGATCAGCTGTCTCCGGTATTCACAGACATCTTCAACACCTCCCTGGAGACATGCCACGTACCAGCCTGCTTCAAGGTCTCCACCATCATCCCCGTCCCCAAAAAACCTAGGTTCACAGGACTTAACGACTACAGGCCCGTCGCCCTGACCTCTGTGGTCATGAAGTCCTTTGAATGCCTGGTCCAGTCCCACCTAAAAACCCTTACTGACCCACTCTTGGACCGCCTGCAGTTCGCCTACAAAGCCAACAGGTCTGTAGACTACGCAGTCAACTTGGCCCTTCATTTCATCCTCCAGCATCTGGACTCCCCAGGAACCTACGCCAGGATCCTGTTTGTGGACTTCAGCTCTGCCTTCAACACCATCATCCCGTCTCTGCTGCAGGACAAGCTCTCCCAGCTGCACGTGCCCGACTCCACCTGCAAGTGGATCACAGACTTCCTGTCTGACAGGAAGCAGCACGTCAAGCTGGGAAAACACATCTCAGCCTCTCAGACCATCAGCACCGGTTCTCCCCAAGGCTGCGTTCTTTCCCCTCTTCTCTTCTCCCTGTACACCAACAGCTGCACCTCCAGTCACCAGTCCGTCAAGCTCCTGAAGTTCGTGGATGACACCACCCTCATTGGACTCCATCACCAGGAAGGCTCAGCAGAGGATGTACTTCCTGAGGCAGCTGAAGAAATTCAACCTGCCAAAGACAATGATGGTGCACTTCTACACAGCCATCATTGAGTCCATCCTCTGCTCCTCCATCACGGTCTGGTATGCTGCAGCCACTGCCAAGGACAAGGGCAGACTGCAGCGCATTATTTGCTCTGCCGAGAGGGTGATTGGCTGCAATCTGCCGTCCCTCCAGGACTTGTTCACTTCAAAGGGCCCTGAAGCGAGCAAGAAGGAACGTAGCCGACCCCTCTCACCCTGGACATGAACTGTTTGTGCCCCTTCCATCCGGTAGGAGGCTGAGGTCCATCAGGACCAAGACCTCACGACACATCAACAGCTTCTTCCCGTCGGCAGTCGGTCTCATTAACAGAGCCCGGGACCCCCACTGACTCTGTCATCCCCAGGACAAATTCCTACCGGTCACTCCCCTGCATCCCTTCTATTACACTCGACACTTTTACACTACACCTACATCTCACTTGTTTATAGTCCTGTTATCTGTTCGTTTGTGCACTTTATTTTATATTTTTCTGTAAATTTGAATATGTTTCTACTTTGCATTGTTGATTGTTGTTGATTGTTGTTAAATGTTCTGCACCTCCCGTCATGTCAAATTCCTTGTATGTTCAACATACCATGGCAATAAACAGTTCTGATTAGAGCAGACTATCTGCTGAGCAGATTCGGGTCTTTTGGAGCTGCTGAGGACTTTTTTAGACTCTTTTATGGAGTGGTCAGCTGGGCCAGCAGCTTCTCCACTGCTGACAGGAGGAGACTCAACACACTGGTTAAGAAGCTAGCTGTGTGCTGGGATGCCCTCTTGATCCAGTGAAAGTGGTGGGAGAAAGGAGAGGTGGCTAAGCTATCATCCTTGATGGAAAACATGCACCTTCCCCCAGGACTATCCTCACCATGGTTAACATTCCCCAGGACTATTGCCACCATGGTTAGCCTCATCATCTTCCTGAGCCCATTGGCACATTTTAAAGAATTACAGAGGGATTGTTGTAATTCGTTAGGCTTAACAGAAGATTCAGCTTTGCCCGAACCCATCTATCATGGTGCAATGTGTGCTCATTCTGACAACTCAAGTGTCATAAAAAGTGAAGGATTTTGCTCAGCGATGCAGCAGAGCTAAAACAACTAACCTGTCACCATTTAATTTGATGTTTTTCAAACTACTGTTTGTGAACTAGCTGAGATGGATTCAGGTCAACACACAAGGGATTGAGAACATGAATCCAATCAACATCAGGAAGTGACCCTTTGACACAGAGGATTATTGTTTTTGGGTTTGTCATGTTTTACATTTTAAATATGACTTCTGCATTAGTCAGTGATTTCCTACATTGCCCAGGAAGCCCTAGGACAGACCCGACCCGACCTGGAGGGCTGGTTGTATTCAGCTGTGTTGAGCAGAAACAGTAACGAAGACTCAGCTGGTTTTTATTTTGTCCTCAGGAAACTATTCTTGCTTTAATCTGCAGAAACACAAACACTGTATTGTAATAAAAGTTATTTCTGTGTAACACAGGGGGGGGGGGGTTGACATGTCCAGGGTCTGAGTCCTGATTAATTCCTCCTTCTGCATAAAGTAAGTAAAAAACTTCAGGAAGTTCTGAAACAATGAGTCCATTCATTCATTTGTTCATTGACAGAACATTAATTATCAACTACTTTTTTATCTATTAATCACACAACACCCTAACCCTTGTTTGATCCGTGTCTCCATGAAACCATATTGAAGACAGAACCATGTCTTCATGAAGAAGGAAGTCAGCGATGAACATTAATAATAACTCTGTCATTGGTTGTCATTAGAAACTAGATTATATGAACTCATTAAGGAGTTCTCTTTCTGCTTATATTTATATTTTTCACTAAAACTCACTGTGTCCTTCAGGTTCCCTGATGGTTCTCTGATGGCTCTTTAGTGGTTCACTGATGGCTCCCTGATGGTTCTCTGATGGCTCTTTAGTGGTTCTCTGATGGTTCTCTGATGGCTCTTTAGTGGTTCTCTGATGGCTCTTTAATGGTTCCCTAATGGCTCCCTGATGGTTCTCTGATGTGTCCCCGATGGCTCTTTAATGGCTAATTGATGGTTCCCTGATGGTTCTCTCTTGGTTTGTGGAGCGTTGCTCTCCAGAAGTAGAATTGTCCTCAAGACACCAGACAGGTTCTAATATCTGATTGATATCTGATGATTTGTTCTGACATGTTGTTCTCCTTCTGGTTCTCTTCCTGATTCTAACTCCTGGTGCTGCATAGAACCGGTTCCACCTGCAGATGGCGATGGGGGTTCCGGAGTCCGGTCTGTCCAACCTGTTGCTGACGGTTCTGCAGCGGTCTGGTTGGAGAGAGGGTACCGTGGTTCTGTGTCGAGGCTGGGAGGAGGCTCGGGGTCTCCTGCGGCTGCTGGACAATGGGAGTTGGAGCATTGCATCATGGGACGGTGGGGGAGGAGTCACCTGGCACGTGCGTGCCCTACTGAACTTGACACAGTTGGCACATGACCACACTCAGATCCACGACTTCCTGTCCCGACACTTCCGCCAGAAGCAGCCCTCGCCCGCGTCAGTGCTGCTGTTCGGAGCGGACCCCCAGTGTGCGGCGGCGGTTCTGCGCAGCGCTCAGGACCTGGGCCTCACGTCACCCATGGTGCACTGGGTGCTGGGCCAGCCCCTCAGCCCCGACGCGCTGCACGCCATAGGGCTGCCTCTCGGCCTGCTGGCCTACGGAGAGGTGGAGAGGAAACCGCTCGACTTCTACGTCAACGATGCCCTGCAGCTCGTCACCAGGGCCATCGCAGCGGCAACCGTGGTGAGACCGGACCTGGCTCTGATCCAGAACATGGTGAACTGCTACGACAAACCCAACAAACATGAGGTGCCGTCCTCCGGACAGTACCTATGCAGGTAAGAACACATTTCTTAGTGTTCTGAGAAACGTAATAATAATAATGACTTCTTCGGTTATTTAACCAAAAGATAAAATATCTAACTGACCTCAATGTGTCTAAACGCACAGAAATGATGTTTCTCCTACACCATCAGTAGATTTATAATCAGTGTTCATTAGCAAATGTAATCAGTGCCAGTGAAATATTAACATGTATTCCTCATTCTAGTCCCAATGAGTTCTGATATTTCTCCAGCCAGCAGCTCTTTGAATGTTGATTATTTTCTCACCAAACTGTGGATTCAGTTGTGTTTTATCAGCAAAGTGGAGGAAAAGCCTCCATCCTTACCTCTCAGACGGGAGGAGCTAAGACTGTAGGACCCGAGAGGGGAAACACACAGATTCATTTTCATATTCATGAATGCAATCTGTGCCTTTTATTTTATTTTAATTGTGTGTAAATATAAATATGTTGGTTTTACATATATATATATATATATATATA